AGCCATCATTGTTGTTTGGCGGGCCTGGGCTGGATTCGAACCCACCACCTTAGGTGTATGTGGCTGGCGCCTTAGCCACTTGGGCCACAGCCAAGCCAAACTTCTTAAATTATTTATAGAGAGTGGGTGCAGTGGCTCGCACCTGTAATCCTAGCACTCTGAGAGGCTGAGGCAGGTAGATTACTTGAGCTTAGGAGTTTGAGACCAGCCTGAGCAAGAACAAGACCCTCTCTTTACCAAAAATAGAAAAAGTAGCTGGATGTTGTGGCAGGCACCTATAGTCCAAGCTGTTTAGGAGGCTAAGGCAGAAGGATCTCTTCATCCCAGGAGTTTGAGGTTTCTGTGAGCTAGGCTGATGCCACAGCACTCTAGCCTAGGCAACAGATGGAGACTCTGTCTCAAGAAAAAATAATCTTACTTTTATCTGCCTTGCAAAAGAATTCTAACCATTTATATAATTGCTTTTCTTATCATGTTTTGTGGTATTTTTTTCACAGTAGTATTTAAAGCTAGCAGTTCAAAACTCTAGTGTCTGTAGCAGTTCCTGCCTTCATATGCTAGTGACTGCGGCCATTGTGCACAATGAACCGCATAATTCAATATCAGATTCATGTGACATAAACTTCCTTTGTCTGTTAAAATTTCTGTATATTCCGAAATCTTCATATCCTATGAGATGGATAAAGCACATTTCAACTGGCTAGTTTTATAGATAAATACAATCACTAGCCTCTGGCGTTTTTGTGGAAATTAATTGGCATGAGAAGCTAATACAATTTAAATTAATATAGAAAAATATTGAGAGCCTCTAATAATCCAGCCACTTTAGCACAATTATCTCATTCCTTCCTCACAGCAACCATAAGACTTAAGGTTAAACTCATGACAAATGATTACTGAGATGAACAGTATTATGTCTAGAATGTGAGTCGTCTAAAGTCACGTAATGTAAAGGTGGGAATACATAGCTGGGTAATTTGAAACCTGCAATAAATAACATACTGTATTGTCTCCACAAACTAATTGAAAATAGTTTAGGGGCTTGGTTCCCGTAGTACAGTGGTTACGGTGCCAGCCACATGCACTAAGGCCAGCAAGTTTGAGCCCGACCTGGGCCAACTAAAACAACAATGACAACTGCAACAAAAATATAGCCAGGCATTGTGGGGGGCACCTGTAGTCCCAGCTACTTGGGGGACTGAGGCAAGAGAATC